CGGTCCCAGGATCTTTTTGCTAATATCAACTTTCGCGCACTTCCACGTCTCATGCGCGGGTACATGAAAGTTTTGACAGGGAAATCACTAACTCGGAACGAGAAAAGCTAGAAAGCTGACTTCAAATTCAGCTTTTTAGAGCCGCCGGTATCTCATATACGGAAACATGAAAGTTTTGGCGGGGAGAGTGTTAATTCGGGAACGAGAAAAACTAGAAGGCCCAAACTTTAGGGGGATGTTCATTACTCATGTACAACCAAAGATTTCAAACAACTCTTCTCGTGGGCCTTTTTCTGTTTGTTGGGTAACTTAAGCTGACTTGTACAACTGACTCACTACACAGCTGCATAGATAACTTCCTGAACTTCGAGTTGGTATGTCACAAATTTTAGCTGCTGGGGTTTCAGGTGATCTTGCTATAGCACGAAACAATGCAAAAGCGCATGATCGCACCGGCCCCCTGGTGTGCGCCGCCAATGATAGTCTGATTTCTTGATCAGATGCTGTACTGTAGCAGTGCTGAACCTCATTTAGTACATGGAGTATTGCGTGGTAGAATAAACATGGCTTATTTTAGGTGCTGTTATGGATTCTCCAATTGAATCACTTCGAACACCTGTGCCACGAAGCCCTCACAGTGTCAGCATACATTCTGATATCTTTGACAGTTCCTCACCGGCTAATGGCCAGGATGCTCAACGGCCGATGAGCTTACCCCCTTACGGTGGTGGAAGTTCAACAACCAATAACCAGGTTGGTCCATCTTGGGCCTGGTGAGCAGTCTCTTGACCGCTGGTTATGATTGTAACATATTTTCCTGTTCAGTTTCGAATTAACTCAGTTTTTTCAAGTCTGCTTGCGAGTTGCACTTGATCTGTTGAATGCCCATTATCACATTCGTCTTTAATGCACCGATTCTTAGAACTATCTCCTGACTTTATCCATTGAGTTTTTCCAGCATTTCATTTGTTTTGCGAGTGCTGTCATGGTGAGAAATTTCTTCTGCGCTTCGTGTTATGTTAGCCGCTCATGTTTATATTACTGTTCTTAGTTTCAAGAGATATTTTACGCCAGCTCGGTCATTATGCCTTTATACCATTCCTAATTAGTGTGCGGAGGGGGAATGATGAACCGCTGTTATGGCGTTTAAGCAGCCCGAGTTGGCTTTTTAGCTCCTGTCATCTATGTTTTTTACACCGTCCCAACAGGTGATAGATGTCTTCTAAAATTAATGGCCATGATTTTTGCAATTTCGATTTTTATGGAAGT